TCTTCTCAATGTCTTGTTGTCTCTGTATTTCAGCATAATTAAAAAGAAAAAGATAAAATATCAGAGAAATTCTAAAGGAAGCATTCAGAAATAGTGAGACTGCAGAGAGGAGCTGCATAATGTGATTCAGTGACAACACGCTTTGATTCTTTTCTACAGGGAAGTTTAATCAGGAAGTGGCCTAGATGGCATTCTTTCAAGTAGGTGCTTGAAGTATCTTGGCAACGTGCTCTGGGTCATAATTGGAGGAATTTGGCTCTGTTTATGTGTCTGTGGGTGCTAACAGTAGGGCAGTGTTGCTTTATTTATAGAATATTTTGTGGAATTGAGCAACTAGCAGCTGGAGGCTGAAAAAAATCACTAAATCAGTACTTTTCCAAATTTTTTGAAAAAGAATTATAATAAGCAAGCAGCTGTCTCCAGGCAGTCAACATTTCTTATAGGTGAGCATGCTACTCATGCTCTATGGCAGGGGGGTCCAATCTGCCAGGATGTCGTTAAGTGACACAAGCAGCCTCTGTGTGTCCAATCTGCCTGAATGTCGTTAAGTGACACAAGCAGCCTCTGTGTGTGGCATACAACACAGCAGGGAGGGGACAGGCAGCACAGCCTCAGTGCAGGAAACAGAAGATAGAGCAGCAGATCAGCCAGGGAGCACAGGGCAGGAAGAGAAAAGCAAAGCGGCAGATCAGGCAGAGAGTAGGAAGTAGAAAGCTGAGTAGCAGATTGAGTAGAGAAAGGGTAGTGGAGTGGTATAAGGAGTAGAGAGGGGAGCAATTTGTGGCACATCTGCCAGAAAGGTTGGCCCCTACTGCTCTAAGGGACTGACAGCTGTTCCATTATAAATGCTTTGTGTTGGATTTTAAAATAACAATTATGCAGGTAATATTATGCTGAAAAATAGGGTTCTGGTTGATAGAAGTGATATGGCATTTGCGGATGAGTGGAGTGGTTATAAATTTTGATATATCAGTGTTGTGTTTCTTTGTTTCCTTTAAATTGCCAGGCATTTGACATAGTTTGCTTTGATTCCATAAAATGGACACGTTCTTTTTTTATACATTTTGCAATATTTTAATAGTCTTGGTTAAATTGGGGTGTCATTTTCAGGCTTGTTATTGTGAAGACATTTTAAAGTATAGGTAGTCCTCAGACTTGCAACACAGTTGGTTCCTGAAAACCACTTCTTAAGTCGAAACAGTGTAACTTGGAACCAATTTTCTCCTAAGAAACAATGCTATAAATGGAGGATTGATTCCTGAACCAAGGCCCCATACCAATACCGTATTTTCACCAAACAACCCCCCCCCCCCGAATTTTGTACTCCATCAATTATAGATGAGTAATACAGCTACATTAATGTATTTATATTGTAAATAGCAATCACATTGATTTGGAAGGACTTCTTTGAGGTGACTTTCCTGGACTTTTTGAAGGGTTCTTGGCTGCAGTCTTCTTGGGAGTCTTGGCTGCAGGTTTTTCTGGAGTCTTGTCTGCTTTCTTAAAGAAAGTGGCCAAGGAAGCTTGGCAGACAAGGTTCTTTGGGTGAATCTGATATCTTTTATTGGACCAATTTAAATAGTTGGAAAACAATTATTAAGCAAGCTTTTGGGTTCAAAAACCCTTCGTCAGGCTTGGACAGATATTCTCCAGGGATATGAGCAATGCAGCGAACTTGTTTGCTGGCATGGCGTCACATTGGATCAAGGATTGTAAAGTCGAAACGCCTCAAAAAGTTGAAACAGGGTGTCAGTTTATAAATGTTGTAAGCGCGAAACGTTGTAACTCGAAAAGTTGTAAGTCGAGGACTGCATTTAAAACCTGTATTTAAAACCTTATTTCAGACAGTATCTTTCTGAATGAAACTTGATTATACAGCATAAAATTTAATTATGTTAAAATGTTGTCCATAACACAGTCCTTTCTGTTATGTCAGGAACTATAAGGATCTTCTAAAGTGACTTATTCAGAATATATTTAATAAGTAGGGGCGAGCCTTTTTGTCAGGTATGCCACAAGGTGATCCCTGTACCTTCCCCATGCCATCTGAGGTGATGCTCTGCCTTTTCTCACTGCTGTATTTGTTGCTGTGCTCCCTGTTCCCTCCCTTATCTCCTGCAGGCCACGCACAAAGGTTGCCTATGCTATTTGTGGCACCCATGCCACAGGTTGGCTACCCCAGATTAAGTGATGGCCAGAATTTATATTAAATTGCAAGATTGCACCATGAATGTGCTATATATAGTCTGGAAGTATAGCTATTGCTCCAGGGCAGCCTGACATGACAGAACTTGTAGCATAGACACTGTACTTGTACTACTTCAGGGACAGAAGAAAAATAGGACATAGGGGGGAAAGGGTGAGCCATGAAGGAACTGCAGCAAGAGAACTTGTCTGATCTGTATGTTCAGAGATTTTTTGGTTAACTGAAGGTGCACTTTCAAATCAATTTTAGATAAACTAGTGGTAGGAGTAATAGTTTATTTACAGCTTTTGCCAAAGCAATACAATAAAATGAGCAATAAAAATATAAATAAAATGACAATAGTTATAATTTTTGCAAAAATATACAGTAAGATCATCCATTCAACCAGTTTACACAAAATTAAAACGGAACATAGGGTGATAGAAAAGATAAAATGAAACACTGAATAATAAAACAGGAGAATTCTACTTGATTTTGGCCCTTATTCTTTGCGCAAGTAACACAAATATACCTAAGGAGTTTAGGACAGGATCAGAAATGTTAGAAAAAAGCCAGATTTGTTTTTTCATTTTCCCAGTTATTTAAAATTTTTCATTAATGGAGAGATCCATTTCCTCTTACTTATTCAAAGAACAAACAAGACCACACTTAGTGATATAAGGCATCTATCTCAGTATTCCCACAAGAGCATTTTCTGTCTGAATATGGGGTCTGACACCACGTGCCTTTGATAGCTGCAGGTCTCATGAGAGTGAATTTCAATCTAGTGGCCTTTTGTGCAAAACTGCAAACACAGGTATACTCGTCTGTATGCTGGCATCTTTTATTCTTGGTGACTGTCAGTATGTTTCACAGGCCATTTGTCTAGAGATCTTATTTGGGTGGTTAAATAACGGTTTATTGGCAAATGAGAAGCATCTAGACTGCACATCTTGGTGTATCTGGTAGGTGTAAATGGTCTAGTTTTTCATTCAGTAATTTAAAGTTTGTAATAGAGCTAAGGTGCTCACATTTATCAGTTCAGTTTCAGAGCACCTGAGCCCCTCACTGTAGAATTATGTAGAGATAAAACCACCTTAAAAGTAATTAGAAAACTTTTTCTATTTTTGGGTGGACCATGGGTTCAGCACCTCTGAGTTCTGCTCTATACAATAAAATGGATTCTGCCTTGGATCTATAGACTTAATGACTCAGCTCAGACTTTTGCTAAAGTAATTTCAAGGTATTCAAAATAAGACATCAGTTCTAGTTTCTTCTCATGTAAAAACCAAACTCATTTCTTCCTTTCATTTCACAAAAGTAAGACTGGTTTTAGCTGTGTTCATTTCCAAGATAGTTGAGGTACAGTAATGCTAAAAAGCATCTAGTAGTCTCTGTTTGGGATTATGACATTATTAATACATCATCTGCATAAAGTAAGATGGGGATAGGGTCATTCAAAATCATGGGCATATGGAATTGATTCCTTGTTACCTCCCATTTTAGATCATTTGAGAATAAAGCAGAGCTAGCAGACATCCTTAGTCTTAGTTGGGAAACTGTTGAACAGGGCACTGCCAATTCTGTAATGTACCTTACAAGCTGTTTGAATAGAGCATAGCTTCATCCACTGATGCTGCTACCAGTTTTTTTTCTATAATTTTAATCTGTCTGTGCAATCAAAAGCTCCTTTGGGATCTGTGAAGGCTATAGACAAATTATTTGGGGTTTTTTACAGATGTAAATGCTTAGTAGTGCAACACCAAACAATGGTCTATGCATGAGTAGTCTTCTCTAAAACCAGCCTGCTCTTTTCCCAAAATACTATTTTCAGAAATCCATGTCCAAAGATGAGGATGTCTTCCAAGCATTTTGACAAGAATATATAAAAGACTATTGAGGCATTATGACACAGGAGCTCTCTTATCACCATTTTTAAAAATCGGGACTATTATATTTTCATTCCAATGCTTTGGATAAATGCCTTATAAGTATGTTAAAATGTTGGTCAGAATTAGACACCAATCAATGAATTTCTTGAAGATTTCTGGGGGAAGAGAGAAACAAGTGAGGAAAAACTTTTGAATTCCTAATTTGATTTTAAACTAATGTCTGTCAGTTTAGGTTGTGTCAGAAAATTCCCAGGTACAAGCTAAAACGAAAATAACATGTCTTTGAGTTGCTGTAAGTGTATCCACATGTTTGCCTCAGTTCATATGCCAGTATATATTTTAAACTAGTGCAACTGCTGTATTGAGGTAAGATCAAGTAGAAGTGTCACACACAGTAAGGAAGAGAATGTGCCTTTGAAGCCCCAGCCAGAAACCCTGCTCCAGAAAAATGAATCAGTAGTTGAGAAGATGCCTAAGCAATAAAGGAAATAGTCACCTGACATCAGGTTTAAAGCTTAGGTCTGCGTCTTATTTCTAAACTTTAACCCATTTGTATCCTGATTTTTGGTATCTAGAAAAAGCAGACAAGAAAATTGGTTATAATACTGGATTTTAATTTCTGCTAGTTTGTTACCACTCCTGTGTGGAGAGAGGAAGTCAGCTGCGTTAATTTGAAATTAGGCAATTAGCCAGGGTGATGTAATGATTTTATTCCTTTGTTTACCTCTGCTTTCTGCAAGTCCATTCATAGCATCTCACAAAAGTAGGCTATAGCCTACAAAAGCTCATGTCTCCCTGAACAAGTTAAACTATAAGGTGCCACTTACTTACCTTCACTTCTGTGTAGTTATAATTAATTAAAATATCATTATTATCATCATTTATAAATTATATACACATAAAGAATATGCTAAAACTTCTTATGACATTTCAGATTTGAGGTAAATCTACAGATCATGGCACTGAGGCTTGCCAAATTTAGGCAGTTCCAGCTTTTGCATTGTTGGACTCTTAACTGCCCACAGAACTTTGAAAAAATGAGAAATTTATGTACATAAACAAGAAGGTAATATACTCCCAAAGCCTTAAGTTTGTCCATTTATTACGTTGTACATGTTAGGCTTTAGGGACAAGTTAATAAACTCTTAGGAATGATTTGTATAGATAAAAAATAAAATTCCTCCCAAAGTAGATCTTTTCTGGTCATTATATTACATAACTAATTCTGCTAAAAGTATTCACAGTAGTTTGTGACTCTTATATGCTAAATTTTGTAATTAGTTGAGCTTCCTAGTTGCCTGTCCATAATACTGTTCAAAACTGTCCTTTTAAAACTATTCAAACTTTAGAACAGCTTGAGTTATCAATGGGTTTTGTTTGTTTTTATCTGAGTGGAGAAAAGCTACATTTTTGTGTGGCATGCCATTTACCTTAATTCACACAAGTAAACTTTACTTTGAGTCAGCCTTTGTGCAAATAAACTTTTAAAAATTTAGGATGGTTGCCTAATGTGTAGGGGCTTAATGTAGCCTTCAGTATATGACAGACCACTTACTAATCACCATTCCAGAATGGTTTTAATTTCCATTTATAATCAAGTGGCAAGTTTTGCTCTTTGTCTTTTGTAAGCCTGCCATGCAATTGTATTGAACAAGTTGGGGCAGGATTGAAGAATGGTGGAGGTAAAAAAAAAAAAAAAAAAAAAATCTTCCTGTATTACTGCTTTGACCCCCAAATCAGTCCTCCTACCAACTTTTCACTTCTAGTTAACTGAGATACTCATTTTTGTTGAGCAAATTTCTGTCAGTAATAGAAATGTGTTTTATCCATTCAAAGCCTGCTTCCACATTTGCTTGATTATTTGACAATGAAACTAGTAATTGTATTGTGTTCTTTCAAAGACGATTGTAATAATGTCTCCTTTTGGAGCAGGGACATTGTTAGTGCCATTAGTCCAGCATTAGCCTACTTTATAATGTTAAAAGTCTATAGATGATCAAGGAGAATTAAAATATTGCTTTTTTGATAAGTGGCAACAAGTTTTAATTTTGTCACTTAAAGCATCCCAGATCATGTTTGGCATTCACTTTGCTTAAAACGAAGTTGGTTGGGAAAACTATACATCTTTAAGAGGGAGGTAATGTGTTTCTTGTTTTTCTTCTATCCAGGTTTTTGAAAAAGTTTAACTGTTAGACCTTGGGGTATGAAAGAAGATCCTAGGTAACTGGCTGGTTCTGCCTCAGCAGCAGATTGAATGCAGGCCTCTGTTTCTAGATTGCTTCCAGAAAACAAGTTTTCAGGTAAGAACTGTCCATGGTTGTGTATTTATTTGGTTATAATTTCTTTAGTAACTAAATGTATATTTTATGTATTCTGGCAGCATTCATTACAGAAACACAATTTAGTGGGTTATTTGGCCCACAGGACTAATATGTACACTATTAAAACAGAAACATAATTTTGTCATGCCTCTGCTCAGTCTTTTTAACTATGTCAAGAGTGTTGAATTTGTTTGGGGTTTTTTTGTTCTTCCCATTCCCCCCCTCCCCCCCACACTTATACCTTGATCTTTTCTGTTCTCATTCCCCACTCCTGTTACCTGTTCTCCAGGTTCATCCACCACACAGCTGGTTTTTGTTATAGGTTATGTGATTAAAACTAACAAAGTACTAAACTAAATGGATTTAAGTTGATAGTGTCCATTTAATGCCTAGTTTATTTATGTTCTTTTTGATTGCTTGTTGTCCATGACTGATTCCATAAGCTACTTGTTCTATGAGCTAGTCCTGGTATTTCATTCATTCAGAGAAAATTGTGAACTCTTTGGAGCAGAGAAATTGTTTAAGGTTGAGTAGAATGCCAGTGTGGAAAGGCATTCCAGCACATTGTATGTGTGTAGTCTGATTTCACAGATTGTACTAAACTGTATGTTTTAAGAAATTGATTTTGTTGTGTTACTTAGCCTGCAGCACATGCTGGAAAGTATAAAACTTCAACTTTAAGTTCTGGAAAAAAATCTTTGTGATTTAAATATTATATATAAATAAATATGTGTATGTATATTAATAACATTACTTGTATAACAAATATTTTTAAACTATATATATTTATGTCTATATTATATATGCTGTTTTGAATATTGTTGAATCAGATGCATTTAACTTCTTTCTTTAAAATATACTTATTTTTTATGACAAAACCAAATGATGCCATATGAATTTTAGCAGATCCTTTATTTTTTATTTTTTAAACAAAGTTTATAATGTTTTTATATCTGATAGAGAATCCAATGGCTGACCAAAGGATGGATATTTCTTCTACAATTAGTGACTTTATGTCACCTGGTCCCACTGACCTAATCTCCAGTTCTCTTAGTACTTCAGGAATGGATTGCAACAGGAAAAGGAAAGGAAGCTCTACTGATTATCAGTAAGCATGTTTTTTTCTTAATTTAGCCTAGTTTAACAGTTTAAAGAGTACCTATTTTCTATCCAATTACAATTGATTTAAAGAAGTGATGCTTTTTTACATATTGAAAATGCTTTGTACCTCAGAAATGGGGGAATTCCTGGCTTTATAATAAAATAAAATAACCTACAACTAGTGTATATGGATTAAAAGAGGTCAGATTTGGAATTTGTTAAGGATTGATTATCTATCATGGTCCTCCAATTAGTGTAATGTTTCTGGTGTATTATTGGGGAAAGGTTGAAACAAAACAGAAGTATTTTTCTAGTAGACCTTTTCTCTTAATTTTATTTTTGACAAAGCATTTGAAAACTGCTCAGAGTCTAGGTGTGTTAAGTGTCCTACTAAACATGGATTAGTTGGCAGAATATATATGAGGTGTTCTGAGTGGTTCTCAAATAACTGCACTTTCACGTGGCAATCACTAATGCATGCATGTACCTGGAGAATATATATATTTTAGGCATGGGGATGCTCATATAATTTGTTTTTAGAAGTACTCCAATTTCACATTCTAACCTTCCTTTAAAGCATAAAAAACCAGATAACATTACATAGAGGGAAAAAATAAAAGATGCATTTAAAACAATTTTTTCTTATTGTTTCTAAAACATATGAGTTGGATCCATAGTACTTGCTTTGCTTATCAGAGGCACATAAAGAAATGTTGTTATATAACCTTTTGAATGTGAAGTGTTTTGATCACAGCCATGCAGCACATCATTCTGTGAGCTTAGATTCGTACCAGATGTCTTTTTTGTTTCTTTGCTCTCACTAATGTTCTGTGATTTTTTTTTTTTTTCTTTTTGAGGCCTATGTAAAACAAAGGCCTCAAAACAAAAAAACGCTCAAGTTAGGAGTATGTTGCCCCACCTGTTAGTTCTCATCGAAAATGCCTGTTAAATCCCTTTTCTACCAGCATCATCAGTGATATAGGAATCGTGGCTTACAGTGGATATATGAAGCTGGAAAACTTAGTGAATACCTATAAGTGAGGCAACAGGGCGGATAACACTTATCTCTTATATTTAAAGCGATATGTCTACCTAGTAAGTGGAAACAAGAAAATAGATTAAAAAGCAGAAGCAAAGCTAGGAATGTTCCCCCTTTTCCCCAGACATTTAATTTCTACCCATATGCTGTACGAGGAACCTTACGTGATTTAAGAGTACATGTTTTTGGTTCCTTCTCAGAGTCTGAAGTCTGGTAATGTGAACTAAGGAAATTTTTTTGCAAAAGGTCTCCCTTGTCTCTTACTCAATCAACTGCTTTGCTGAACGGTTACAATTAATTGTTCTTGACAAAACATAAACGTCTTTCATTCAAAAAGAGAAAGTCTTAATGATGGAACTGAGTCACTAAAAATAACCCCTCTCCTTTTAAGTTAAGAAAGGGGTTCTTTAAGTCAAAATCAAGGAGCTGCCATCTAAGCTTAGCTTCACATATTTGCCCTAGGGAGTCATAGACTGACTCATTATTAGGAAAGTGGAGGTTTTAGTAATCTGTACCAGATATATAGCTAATCTGCATTCTTGCACTCCAAGACTAACCCAAGGCTATGTAAGAAAACAGTCTGTTTATCCATAGTATTACAAAGACTAGGTATGCAATAACTGATTTAAAGTCTTGTCTGTTAGTAACATGGCCTGTTTACAGACGTTAAAAAAATGGTGCTTTACTTTAAACTCTGTGTGCCCCCGCACTGAGCCCTTTGCATGCCCAGAAGAGGCATCACGTTAGTTGGACCCAGCTTGCCCAATGTCTGTATAGATAAGGCGCTTCAGGGGGGCTTTTTTTGGCACTTTTATCTAAGAGCTGATTGAATCTGCTGTTTGATAAGTGCCAAAAAACCCTGCTGAAGCACCTGATCTATACAGACACTGTAGAGGTGGATTGAAGTAACATGCTGCTGCTTCAGGTAAAGCATTTTTTTGGTGGTTTGGGTTGGGGGTAAGGTCTGCAGGCAGCCACAGTGACTTGCTTATGTGTTATATCCCTTTTGCTTAATTCTGCAGTTTTTTTCGTCTTAAGACCTCAAACCTGATGTTGGAATATTCCTTTTCTTCAGACAATTTTAGTTCATACTGAGCATACCAGTTAGGAAATTAGTTAAGAGACTTTTTAGGATTTGAGGACACCATTTCTACTTAACAAGAACCTAAATTCAAAATTCTTGTCAGTCCTTTGAGACGACGTATGTATATTCTGTATATGTGTCCTACTGAATATTCATCAAGCCAGCTGTGTCCTGATCTCGTCAAATTCAACTTTCTCTAGAACAGTGGTACTTAATGTTCACCTCATAGGACAGATCTGGCCCTCGGAGCTGTCTCATCTGGCCTGTTGGTCTGGAAATTTGATAGTGGGGGAATGGTGGCAGCATCAATTTTTGCTCTTCAGCTGCCAAATTTTCAGACTTGTTGGGGAGCCTTGTGGCCTGGATGGCATGTCCTTGTGTACTGGATCAAGCCAGTTCACGGTCAGGCCAGGACACAGAGTCACTCTGCAGCCACATCTTACATACAGCGCTAGGCCATGTGTAAGATTGGGCCATCATGTAGCTAGATCTAGTACATGGCCATCATGTGGCTAGATCAGTGTGGCAGGGGGCACACCCAGGGATGGGTCTCATGCTGGCCCACCCAGCTGCCTCTATGGGGCAGAGTGCCCAGTCTCGCTTGCCACGACTTTGCTGTTCCCATAAACTGGTGGTATAATGCAGGAGGCTGCCCATTTCCTGCCCCAATGCCAGCGGATGCTATCTGCGGCTCCATACCTCCCCTACACTGCAGTCCATGCCTTGCAGATGGCATCCACATGATATAATCATAACCTACATCACGACTGGTGCTCCAGGGTCTCACAGAGACTCTCACTCCCTCCCTGGAGTAGCAGGTCATTGTGCTTAACCTTTAGGCCTTTCTTTCGACCCACACTCAGCTTCCTTGCGGTGGAGGACTTACCGGGGTTAAGACTCGCCCCTAACTCTCTGGCTAAGCCCCCCACTCAGCCTCTGGCCCAACTACGGCCTCAGGCGTCCAAAGACATACCTTGGCCTACTCCCCACTCCTGGGGTTCGTATTGTGCTCACTCTAGAGCCTCCACAACATGCCCCACCCTGGAGTCTTCTCATCATCCTCACAATCAACCACTTCCGGGGCCGGCCCTTGCGCTGCCCTTCAGGCTTACACCCAATTTGGCCCTACTCAGTGTGCCTCTGGGACTGCCCTTCCTGCCTACTCACATTCAACCTGACTCTATGTGGGACCACCTACATCCCTGCCCTCTCAGACTTTAACAACTCCGCCCTCTTCACTAGGGCCTCACTACGCCTTTTCTCAGGGCCTTGGGCTCAACCACCCCCATAGGCTCAGGTGGCACTCCACTTGACGTGCCTGGCCCACCACACTCACTCCCTGGGGTCTTGCACCCCACCCCCTACAGGGGTTCAGGTGGCCGCACCCATGCCTGGCCCCACGACTGCCTCCAAAGCCCACCCAAAGATGGGGACTGGGATTAAGGTGCTCCTCCACACATTTCACCGAGGAGGTAACTGGCCTGGCATTTCCTGGGGGCCCCCACTCAACTAGGAGCCCTACCAGGCCACCCTTTCCCAGCAGGGTGCAGTTTTAGGTCATGCCCAAGACAAAGAGCCTCCTGCTCATACCTGCTAGATGTCCCATGCAGTTCAGCCAGGCTAGGTTTGTGCCTGGGCTGGCAGCAGCAAACTGCAGCCTTTATGTGCCTAGTGCTTTATATGCCTGGCTGTTTCCTGTTTTCTGCCCCTAATGTGGCAGGCACGCAAAAGTGCACTGCCACAATCCGGTACATCTGGTACATACCTGGCACTGCCCATGTATGGCATGCAGGGTCAGGCCAGCATGCCAAATTGCACCCTTAGACCAGCCCTGCATGCTGAGCCTGCACTGGTTACAGTAGACTGGCGCTGCAGCACTCATTTGACCAATGGAGCCAGGTAGGTTGAGCGTTTAGGGGCCACTACACTAGAATAAGTGATGTTGAGGTGGGTACCTTGTGCCTAAAAGCTTCTCTAATATCCCAATTATGCAGTTGGTTCTGTAAAAGATTTCACCCCCTAAAAAATCCCTGCCTCTCACCTCACGCCACTTCCTTTTCAATCTTTTTTTTCTGAACGAGTAATATTTCTGAATTCCTCTGTTCTTCTGGAAAGACTAAATCTGCTTTTTATGCTGCAACTAGTTTCTTTACATCTAAAGCCCTTCAAATGTCTTCTAATCAGAAGACACTCCATAATAAACTTTAATGGTGGTTGTACCTGAAGTGTAAAAATGTTGACCTGGCCATTAAACACCCCTCTTCTGTTTTTTATAGTAATTGACTCCCGTATTTTTTGTAATGGACTCCCCTGATTTTTCCTTCTGTCTGGACATAACTGTAATAGGTTGTTTGAAGGCAATTGTGTTGAGCTGCTTACATCTACCTCACAGATATCTTCTTGTAATTGCTGTTCTTTCAAGTGAACAGTGAATTAGATCACAAGAAGCTCTAATTCATTGTTCAGTTGGCATAAGAGCAGTTGTGTGGGTATTGGTGAAGTAGATGTAAGCAGCAGGAGATTCCTTCAGCTTAATTGTTCTGTGGTGGAACTGCCTTAAACTCTATCACATACAAAACAGCCCATCAATCTGTTCTCCAGATTAGCTCCCATCAGTTCCACTGCTGCCACTGCAGCAGGTTACCTTTACTCTGACCATACTATTTGATTGGAACAGATGAATTGGAGTCTAGCAAAGTGGATGTCTGGAAGTTTATTCTGTCTTTGAGTCTGATTACCTAAAAAACCTGCTGGTGTCCAGTTTGTAGTGCCCCATCTTTCCCTGTGGTAAGCTAGTTATACACAGTTTTGTAGTGTGTAAAACTACAATAACTAAGAGAAGAATAAAGTCAGAACAATTTAATAAAATGCTTAAAATTTCCCT